GTCAAGAAATACTTCTCTTAGGATGAAAACCTGAGAGGGCGTCCTAAGTCGAAAAAAAACAAAAGAAAAGGAAAAACGTTTAGGGTGAAAACCCGAAAGGACGCCCTAAATTGAAAAAAAGAATAAAAAGAAAGAGAAAAGAAAAATAAGGTGGGTTCAAGATGAAAACCCGTAGAGGGCGTCTTGCAATCCAAAGGATGGGTCCAAGTTGAAAACCCGAAAGGGCTATTTGGATATTGACTGAAGAAATCCAGACAATGGAAATATCCCGGCACCAGAATCTTCTACAGAGTTAACGAGTCAGAAAGGTTGCGTTCTTCATAACGTTGTCGTATTTTCAAAGATCCCTTGGCAAAGGCTGTGTTCAAGGTCACCTAACGACTTTTCAGCTTAGAAGTACTCATATTATTGAGATCTAAGACTTTCATACTTCATCATGTATGTTTGTCGTGTATTTATTCTTCTTTCCCTTATGAATAAAGATGATATTTTCTCTAAATCAATTCCTTTTGAGAATCTTGGATTGAACTTAAACCTAATGATTTGTTTACTCCTGCAAAAGATAATCGCATATTACTGTACAAAGATTCGTTGAAACGTACAGGTACCCGGAAGCAGATCAAGGCTCATGCACATACTTGAGATGGTCGAGAAACATTTCCCAAATCAAAGAACAAAGAATATCATTTTTACACATTTGAAGAATTCAAGATCATGGATTAGAACTTTAAGATTCCAAAATCAAGATTCTAGACATGCAATTGGAGATTGAGATTTCTCTCCAGAGCCCAAAATAACATATGTTGCATGTGCATTTTAGGCATACCTAAGAGCATTGCATCCATCACATGTCTGCATCATTTTTCAGGTTTTAGCTAGATCCAATTTCAACTTTGCAGTGAAGGAGATTGGACTCGAAACGACACAATTTACTCGAGAGTAGATTTCAACTTCACGACAAATGATATCTAACTCGAAGCCAAACTTCACAATAAAGGGGTAATCCACGGTTTCAACTTCACGGCGAAGGGAATCGTGTCCACCCGCAACATACAATACTTGGATTTCAACTTCACGACGAATGATATTCAAGTCCAAGCTCAACTTCACGACGAAGGGGCCATCCGCGATTTCAACTCCACGACGGAGGATATCATGCCATTTGAGGCTCAACTTCACGGCGAAGGGGCTTCCCAGTTTCAGAACCAATTTCAACTTCACGACGGAGGATATTGGAGTCGAAACAATACAACTTACTTGGATTTCAACTTCACAACAAAGGGGCCACCCGCGATTTCAACTTTACGGCGAAGGGAATCATGCACAAAGCAGCATCTATCTCTAGATTGGATTTCAACTTCATGACGAAGGATATCCAACTCAAAGAATGATTGTCTGTCAATAAAATTTCCAGTTTTAGGGTCAATTTCAACTTCACAGTGAATGATATTGGCCTCTGGACAACACAACTTACATTGGATTTCAACTTCACGGCGAAGGATATTCAAGTTTCAAGGCTCAACTTCACAACGAAAGAGCCATATACGATTCCAACTTCACAACGACGGATATCGTACCGCAACAGATTGACTCAAACTCACGACGAGGGAATCATTTCATGATTTCATTCAAAGTCTTAACATCGGATTCAACTCTACAACAGAGGACATTCGATATAGACGAAATTCGTGTCTTTTAATATTTGCTCTATTTTTATTACACGAAAATAAGAAAAGAGGGGCAGCTGTAGACATGTCATTTCTGTCACATATTTTACACATATATTATATTGATTATATATTTATATATTCATTATTTATTTGTTGTACAGGTCCAAGACTAATAAATCAGGGACAAGGCCCAACAACCAAAACCCAAATGGCCCTGGACTCGTTCCAAGATCAGGGTTTCCAGGAAACCCTAGTGCGCCGCTTCAAGACTCCAACAGTCCGTGCCCGCGTTTCACAGCAACAAGTCCCCACATCCGATTTTCACGACGCCAATCACCAACAACCATGCAACAACCATTAGACTTTAGGAATCGATTAGAAGACTAAAAACAATATTTTATTTTCCTATAAATGTAACATTTACATACGAAGATGGGGGGAGGAGAAAGGCAGGGGAAACAATTGTAAGGGGAGGAAGTCTCTCGGTTTTTTTTCCAGCATAAGTAAAAGCAATATTTTCAAGGTTATTTGATTTTTTTACACTCGAATATAGTTTTCTTTTCATGTATTTATTTTCTATTTAAGTTCTGTATTTATTTTATTTTTATTTTTATTTTTATTTTTATTTTTATAAATAAAAATATGATTTTTATTTTTTCTTCAAAAAACACTAAAAATGCTCATGTATATCGAACATAAATAATCACCATGTTTTATAATATCCAACGATTTCAGTTACAGCAAATAATAAAAAATATAAAGGGGTAGATCGAAATATTACCTGTGTCGAGGGAGCATCGTCGGAGTTGGGGTATCGTCGTCGTTGGGTTTAGAGAAGCGATGAAGGTGGATTTGTTGGAAAGCAGTCTGTTGTGGAGAGAGGATGACTGTTGAACGAAGAAAAAGGGAAAATGTTAGGGCTCCATGTGCATAATAAGAATAAAAATGTGAAAGGGATTTTTTTAAAGGGTTCACGTGTTCTGAAAGTCAATAAGAAATGGAATTGCTTATATTTTAATTTTGGGTAACTCATACGTTAACTCATCATTATTTCATAGCTTTTTCCTTTCTAGTCACTGATTTTAGTTTAATCTTATTTAAATCCCTTTCTTTCCATGTGTTACATTTAAGTCATTAGATTTAGGGTCAAATCACCCTTATGTCCCCCTAGTCTAGCCATGTTTTAATATTATGATCATTATGTGTATTTGTTTTATTTTAAACTCTATATTTTACTTAGTTTTAATTTAGTCATTAAATTGTTATGTTTTTTTATTTGAATTTAGTTACTGTCTTTCTAGTTTCCATTAATACTATTTTAATCCTTTAATTTTCTATTTGTTCTATTTTTGTACTTTACTCTTTTTTCCTTTTTCTATTTAATCCCTTAAGTTTCTGTTTTTCTTTTGCAGCTCGTTCCTAAAATTAATTCGATTCTTAAATTTTAATTATTTCCAATTTAATTTTTAATTTAAATTTTCTTTTATACCTTTTAGTTACTATTTTTTATTTCGATTTTAATACTAACTCTTTGTGTTTGTTTGTTTTATTTTCTTACTTTATTTATGATTTTTTTCGGATACGTTTAATCAATCAAATGTAAGTAATTTGAATCGAATTTCTAAATTTCAATTTCAATTTTTGCAATTAATAAAATCGATAAATTAAATGGTACCGAAAGGGCAGTTTAAGAGTGCTACTCATTCCTTGACTGTAATCGACTCTCGAACCCGACATATTTCTGGTAAAACGCAGATCAAGCAAGATGGTATCCGATCAACTAAATTTTTCACAAAAAATAAATGATCGGTGGCGACTCCTAATATTTAATTTCAAGTCGAAGCTAAATTCCGGGCCCACTCGAAAGACGGCTGCGACATGTACAAGAAGAGCTTCGTTAAATGCTTACTTTCGCCGCTGACCTACAAATACCTCAAGGCCTTTTGCGCTCATTTGGGTTGTTTATTTTGTGACTGTGCAGTGTTAGCCCAAACCATTTATCAGTCAACTTGGGTCCAAATTTATTTTTCAAAAGTAAAAACCTGAGAAAATGTGATTGCTTACATCATAAGTCTTAATGTTTTTTTTGTCTCTTTTAAAAATTAATATAAATGGAAGCATAAGAACAAGTGAAAAGAAAACTTAGATCCAAGCCTCTCTCACTAATAGAACAATTCCATCACTGCATAGCCTTAAAACCCCTTCATTTTTGTTCAAGACTAGAGTGAATTCAAACATTCAGAAAGCTGCTGATATGATGGATGATAAAGTATGAGCCCCTTTGGCAATAGATTTCCGAGGGGTAGGGCTGTTGTCGGAAACAGGCTTTGAGAAACAGCTGTCTGGTTGATTGGATTAGGTTGAGTTCTCGGAGTGACGTTTGAGAACCATCTGCATAAAGTGACAAAATTCCCATCCTTTTCCCACTCAACAATTGCCCATTAGGCATATTAACGTAGTTTTTAAAATATTTGAATCAAGTTCAAATTATAAATTTTTACGTGAAAAAATATGTTTTAACACTAATTTTCAAATAAATATATAAAGAGTGCCCAATGATATAGTAGTTTTCATGGAAGTCATCTTTGCATCCACCGGCCTATAGCATAGTATTAGCTGTCGAGGAGCACAGTGGTTGAATTATTCCTATATTTAAGTTGCAAAACAAGTTGGTTTGACATTCCGAGGCCTCTAATAATTCTGCATGTCATTCCTCCCAAGTTTGGATATTAGGTGGCAATCATAATTGTATAACTAACAAGGACACTAGTAGAAAAGAGAAAGCACTTCATGAAGCTTGGTTTAACCAAACCATGTCCATTAATATATAGGAATTAACAAGGACGTTTTATATCTATACTTCACTGGGCGTTGAAAAATGCTACCAACTAGAACAATAATGGTTTATGGAATGCATTCACCTATACTATACATTAATTACAGGTTTTGTTAATGTGACTTGAATAACGTATGCTTCTATTACGTGACAGTAATTTTTCTCATACTCGGCCAAGCAAACCGACTTGTATTATCAAAAGAATCCATGTTTAAGGTATATTTATTAACCCCACAGAGAAGGATAGTATGAAAAGCCACTAAGTAGATAATCGAAGCACCACTAATCAGAACGGATTATGTTAGAGGATGAATTTATAAAATCGTGGGGGATTGTTTCGGACTTTAGCATGCACACCTAACCTTTTTCAGTTACTAAGTACTAACCGGTACTTCTTTTCAATCTCCAACATTTTTGCTATAAATACAGAACGCTAAGGACGAGACGTTCATACTTGAAACGTAAACAATTCTCTGTTTCCTTCTAAGAAATAGGTTTTAGTCCTGGCTGTTATTTCTAGGGCTTTGATTGCCTCACTTCTCGTCTCTCTTCTCCTGTTTCAACTGGTTGAAGCTGACCATCAGTTGGTAAAGCTTTCTTTGTCCCTGCTTCCTTTCTTCTAAAATAATCTACGCAATGAACACTCTGTTATTGCCTTGTTCGTCGTAAATGATTCTTTTGAAATACAGGTGAATGATGCTAGCAAGGGAACCTCGCCCCCGAAGAAAATTGGTAAATTTTTGAACACGTTAAATATGATATCGAGATACGAAGCTACTTGTAGCTGAGACCCTTTTTGATATATATATATATATATATATATATATTTGTTTTGTGTTTTTTCAAACTGTGGGGGAGCTTGTGCAGCCAGGTGCCTGTTATCATCGAGGCCACATCTATTCAAGAGGGCATGCGGGACATGTTGCGCACGTTGCAACTGTGTTCCTCCAGGAACAGCCGGAAACCAAGAAATCTGCTCCTGCTATGCTAGCTTGACCACACACGGTCGCAAACGCAAGTGCCCTTGAGTTTAATATCAACGTGACAGAATCAATCTCTCCTTAATTTGATGATAATTAATGAGTTGGTGAAGAAAGAAACTAACGCATGCATGGTTTGAGAATTAATAAAAGAAATGTATGATTGATGATTGCTTGTCTCTAGTTTTTTTTTGTCATTCTAATTTCTAAGGTTTTGTCTTAATTAATCCGGACCAACCCGAGTCGTACACGTAGCTGTGATGGGTGAGTTTCCTTAGGAATTTTCTACATACACCAGGACTCAAACTCGATACCTACTTAAGTGATATCAAGTTGCTTACCACTTGAACCAATCTCGTTGGTGCTTGTTTCTAGTTTGAATAAATATATGTGTGTAAATATACAAAGTGAAAGAATAAATAAATTTTTATAATTATCTCACTACAACAAATTTATCAATTTATGACAAAATTTATATGACGTTACGTATATCGTCACAAATATACTATAATGTGACGTTTTTTTATTTTCGTCATATTTATTGATTAATGATATATCTTTTATGACAATTTTAAAAAAGGTCATTGATTTTTGTCACTATATGTTTGGCGCCAAAATCTTCCCACCAAATTTTTTTGTGGGAAGCCTTTTAATGACATTTAGATAAAATAATGACGTTGTGTTGAGTTAATCGATCGACGGAATCGGCCAAGAGGGGGGTGAATTGGCAATTAAAAATTTCTTGGAAGCTTTTGCAGAAAATTGAAAGTAATTGCACAGCGATTTACAGTGGTTCGACTTTCTCAAACAAAGTCTACGTCCACTACCTTAGCTATCCACACTAAGGATTTTCCAACAAATTCACTAATTTGTTCTTTCTTTTGAGGCCAAAGAGATAACCTTACAAATCCCTCAAGAGTATACCCCAACTCTTGAGAACACTCTTTTTCCCAAAGAGAAGATTACAAATTTGCAAACTTACAAGAAAACCTCACAAGGTAAGATGTTTGCACAATTCTAGAACAAAGAAAAGAACACTCAAAGATAAATACAATTGAGTACAAAAGTGTTCTTGAAAGCAAATGAATATTGGATGAAAAATAGGCTTGAAATGCTCAAACTTGAGGTTTGATGCTTTCTCTTTGATTCTCTCTTGATTCTAGTTGCTTGATGTTTATTGTTGTTGATCAATGGCTTCAGAACTTGTTTAAATACCCCTTGAATCAATTCTGAACGTTGGTGATAATTAGTGGAGTCAATAGAGCCGTTTAAGTGTGAAAACAATTAATTTTTCTAGGTGGAGCGTCTCATGCATCGATGCATGATCAAGGATGCATAGGTGCATTCGTGTAAAATTCAAATATTTTGACCGTTGGAACACTTGATGCATCGGTGCACCAAGTGTGCATCGATGCATGAAATGCATTCGATGTTTGAAAAATAGCCTGGTGCATCGATGCATGCTTGTGCATCGATGCATCAAATGCATTCGATGTTTTGAAAATATTCAGAATGCATCGATGCATGGAGAGTGCATCGGTGCATGGAATGCATTCGATGTTCAATTAATTCATCGATGCATCGATGCATGGACCGATGCATCGGTGCATGCCTTTGAATAATTGATTTAAGGCTTGTTTTTGGTTCAAAATACTTTGTGAAAATTGTTTCAAAAATAGTTTAAGTACAAATCACAATTTTACACATTTAGTAAGGATTAAAATTGATCTTGAAAAACTTGGAGTAATAATTTGATATTCGGTTAATTGAATCGAATATAAATTTGTAAAATCATTTGTAAAATCTTAAAATTCATTTAACTTAATTTGTTATATCGAAATATCAAAAATGTTTTCAACAATCTCCCCCTTTTTGATATAACAAAACATTTAAGTAATTTTAAGATTTGTTTAAGAAATTATTTTTGAAATTGATTTTGAAAAACTTACTCCCCCTTACTATAGCACATCAAAAACTTACTCCCCCTTACTATAGCACATCTTAAATTTTCTCCCCCTTTTTGTTAAATCAAAAAGACTCTATAAAAACGTTTTAAACAAGAATTTTGAAAAACATTAGCCAATTGATTTATTAATAATAGGCTTCTAAGATCACAATCAAAAGAGAGATTAGCCATTAGTTTTCATAAACAATATTCATAATAAAATGTGAAATGGCATAATTTGGTCATAAATTTCTAATGATGCAAAATTAATAAACAGAAAGCGTTAAAATGTCAAACCAAATATATATAATTCAAGCATCCTCAAACAAACATCCAACAACTAATCAAGTTCAAAGTATCAATCAAACCACAAAAATCAAATCCAAGTTTTAAGAACAAGAAAGCATGGAAAGTAAGTCTACTCCATCGGAGGATCGGGAGGAGGATGTTGAGGAACGGGAGGACGGTTTTGGTGAGACCGACTATAGGATGTCCTAGGGCGTTTAGGATTAGTCATGGTAAGGAAAATCGGAAAAGGAATATCACCTGCAATTTTAAAACACATGTATGCACAACAATTAATCCCAAAACTCAAATGAGTCCTCAATAATTCAAGGTTCTCTAACAAAGTCCTAATGGGCAAAGTTTTGAAAACTATTTAAAATTAATATCATAATACGCATAGTTTTCATGAAAACAACACAATTGAATCAGTAATTTTCGTTTTTTTTTTTAAATTCGAAATTTCAAAAACAATTTTGAAAAATTATGCGTTTTTGATGAAATTCATTGTAGAAACTAGTTTAGAATTATCATATAACCAATGCCCGATAATTATTTTAAACTAGAACTAATCTAAACTAGTCCTAAGTTCAAAAATTAATAAAATAGAGTTTTTGTAAAAAATACCTTGAAAAATTCGGATTGAGGAGAATGTGGAGATGTTTTGTGCGATTTAATGATTGTAGCAGGTTTGTAGGATATAAAACTTGAAGAATCCGATGTTTTCCCGAAGATTTTGAGCAAAATAGAGATTTAGGATGAGAGGGTGACGAACAGCCGTGTGTTTAGTGTTTTAGGTTTTGAGAAAAATGAAGAAGATGAAGCATTTTAACCTAAAACCCGACGGATGCATCGGTGCATGGCCTCATGCATCAATACACATTCAAAGGGATGCATCGATGCATTGTTAAATGCATCGGTGCATAAAGCACAAAAATGTCAAAAATCCGTTTTAAACACTTAAAATGCTAAATAATTTAGCTCTAATGGTAATGGTAACTCATATATCAAAAATTAATTATGTTCAATCTTCAAACTTTATTTGAACATAAAATTAATTTTCATTAAGAATCATAAACTCCCCCTAACTAATAGCAAGAATGCAATCAAAAATTATTATTATAAGCATTTTTCAGTATTTATTAAAAGTGCTAAATTATTTTAAACACTAAGTGAAGATAGGTCAGTTAAACCTAATTCTCTTCTAAGTGTCCAAAACCTTTCCTTGTCTAAGGGTTTTGTAAAGATATCCTCTAATTGATGCAAAGTATCAACATATTCTAGAACTACATCTTCCTTAGTGACATGGTCTCTAATGAAGTGATGTCTTATTTCAATGTGCTTAGTTCTAGAGTGTTGGATGGGATTTTTAGTGAGACAAATAGCACTAGTATTGTCACACTTGATAGGAATTGTACCTACTTCAATTCCATAATCAAAAAGTTGTTGTTTCATCCATAAAACTTGTGCACAACAACTACCGGCTGAAATGTATTATGCTTCAGTGGTAGATAATGCAACACAATTTTGTTTCTTTGAAAACCAAGAAATCAGCATATTTCCAAGGAATTGGCAAGTACCGGAGGTGCTTTTCCTATCTAATTTGCATCCTCCATAATCCGCATCAGAGAAGGCATGAAAGCTAAAACTAGAGTCTCTAGGGTACCAAAGACCTATACTAGGAGAGTCCTTAAGGTATCTAAAGATCCTCTTAACGGCTAGTAAATGTGATTCTTTAGGATATGATTGAAACCTAGCACACAAGCAAACACTAAACATAATATCCGGTCTACTTGCGGTTAGATAAAGCAATGAGCCAATCATGGATCTATATAATTTAACATCCACACATTTACCTCCTTCATCTAAGTCAAGCTTTGTAGAAGAGCTCATTGGAGTGGCATAAGGCTTCCCATTTTCCAATCCAAATTTCTTGAGCATATCTTTGACGTACTTAGCTTGATTAATGAAGATGCCATCTTTTCTTTGCTTGATTTGGAGTCCCAAGAAAAATGAGAGCTCCCCCATCATGCTCATCTCAAACTCACTTTGCATTAGCTTAGAAAATTCTTGGCAAAGAACATCATTAGTAGAACCAAATATTATATCATCAACATAAATTTGAACTACTAATAAATCTTTACCTTTATGCTTTAAAAACAATGTAGTGTCAACCTTTCCTTTTGAAAAACCTTTTTCAATTAAAAAATTTGACAATATTTCATACCAAGGTCTAGGAGCTTGTTTTAAACCATAAAGAGCTTTTGTCAATTTAAGAACATGATCTGGAAATTTTGAATCTTCAAAACCTGGAGGTTGTTCCACATACACTTCTTCTTTTATAAAACCATTTAAAAATGCACTTTTAACATCCATTTGATATAATTTAAATTCATGAAAACATGCAAATACTAATAACATTCTAATTGCTTCCATCCTAGCTACGGGAGCGTATGTTTCATCATAGTCTATGCCCTCTTCTTGAGTATACCCTTGAGCAACAAGCCTAGCCTTGTTTCTCACTATATTACCACTTTCATCAAGCTTATTTCTAAAAACCCATCTAGTACCTACAGTAGATTTATTACTAGGCCTTTCAACTAATGTCCATACTTTACTTCTCTCAAATTGATTTAATTCTTCTTGCATAGCCATAATCCAATGTTCATCTTTTAATGCTTCTTTGATGTTCTTAGGCTCTATGCATGAAATAAATGTAACATAGTTACAAACATTTCTAAGAGAAGATCGAGTAGTTACCCCTTTGGATTGATCACCTATAATTTCACCATCCTTGACATAGTTGTACTCTCTTGGAAAAGATACTTCACTTTCTTCACTGGTTGGATTCTCGAGGGGATCATGAGTTTCCTCATCTTTTGTTTCTTCATTTGATGATGATTCTCCAACGTCATGTCTAACGTCA